TAGGAAGGGATTGAGTTGTTTAAATAGTTGTTTAGATGATTATAAGATCTAAAGTACGTTAGGGGGAATCTGTGTTGGATGATTAAATATTTACACATTTGGAAAGGGATGGAAACTGCCTGGTCTTCATCAAAGGCCCTGTGTAGCCTGTTAAATGTCCAGAGTTCTTTGCTGGGCAGGGACATAGATCTGAGTGTGGAGCCGTAAGCCTTGCTATTAGAGCTCATCATGCTGTGCCTTAGTCTCTTATAAGAGCGGTGCTTAAGTAATAGCTTTATCCAGTTCCAGGATGCCTCTTTTCACAACATTTCAAGCTATGTTGGAATGTGTGCTCCATAAAATCCTCCAGGAAGCAATGCTGCTAAAGAAAACTGGGTGGAGTAGATAGCCTTGCTGTGTCCTGCAGCCTGGGGAGCAAACGCAGTGTCCTACCCCCAGCTTCCTTGTGGAGATCTTGTGCCCTGGCAGGGTGAGGTACAGAGCAGCTGGTGGTGTCTATGGCAGTCTAAAAGTGAATATGTAGGTGGAAATGCAGTGCCACTTGCTCCAATTTGTCATGCAGTAGGTGGGCAAAATGACTGTAAATTACAGAGTGCTGAGGTGTAGCAGGAAATAGATACCAGCCCTGGGGCAAGGATACTCATGTCCCATTGGCACTAGTGGGAGTTAACCTTGATTATTGCAGGAGGCAGATGTTGTTCCTGCACGATACCAAACAGAAACCTATTCTGCTCAGTTTGCCCCAGAGCAGATTTGGGTTCCAGGGAACCCTAGTGAAATACATTTGATTCCGGTACACGTCACACCTGATTTGACTCACATGGAATTGGTACCGTTTGTGTTTCCTTGCCACATTCACTCAGTTTCTGAACATTTTCGACAGGAATACCAGAATGAGAAAGGACCTCCTCTTGAGCCTTAAAATCTAGTTGTCTTCATCAACTGGGCAAGCCCCAGTGTAAAGCCAGCAGCTTTTCTGGCCTCTACTGTTCCGGTTGAGGGTGTTGCAGAAGTGCCTCAATTTATTAATTTTTTCACAGGCATTTTTATGATCGGGCATTTTGGGTCAGCATAAGCTTTTAAAATCAAGTCATTCTGCTTCCATCACATACTCCTTCCATGTCTGTATTTTTGATTACACAGAGATCTTCATTCTGAATGAAGCTGAGCTAACACAAAGCTTGGGATGGCTTAATTTGACATGCTTCTGATACAAGACCATCTGAAAAATTCATGTGGTCTGTGGACAGATTTGGTGATAACAAGGGGACAGATTTAACACAGAACTGAACTGGAATTGTCTGCTTTCTCTGCCGCTGGAGAACTGCCTGGGGTTTCAAAGTCTCAGCTGAACCTTGTCTAAGAAGCCTTCTCTAATTCCAGTAGTATTTCTCCAATGAAGAAATTTTTCAGTCTTTGTTCAGTGAAAATACATTGCTAGCTTACAGCATCTCACTGTTTATCTACCTGGCCTAACAACTGTTTATTATATATAAAGTACAAAACACAGAAAAACTTATTATTCAGCCAGAAACGTAAGCTTCCAAACTAGATGAAAAGCTGGATACTTTGGGTCAAATTCTTAGTGGATAAGAGCTGTCACAGATGCAGACAAACTATCATGAAGGCAGAAGGGCTGGTCTGTTGTATCAGACTTGCAGAACTCTTCAGGAGTGATGTAAGTATAGTTGTTTTACCGTGACATTTCATGTACCAGTAAACAGATTAAAACACCATCACGGTCCTATTACGTGTGTATTAATATATTACAATTATTGCTAAGGCTGATACAGTGTTTTTTATCTTTTTTTTTTTCTCAAAGCACCTTAATAGGAGAGAAGTACCACACATGTTCTCAAATTGTGGAGAAAATTTGTCTGTCTAAGCATGCCTCTCTTACAGAACTAAAAACAAAGGACATTTAATAGCCCACAAGAGATCATCTCTAGGTGACTGTTTTGGGTTTGGCTGTCAGGCTGTCCCGTCAGCACCTTCCTTGAGCAGACACTGTCAGTGCATGCATGGCAAAGCAGAGCCTGTGTTCTCTTTCATGGTGCATGCTGACTTAGCTAGACACTGTCTCTGATATGAAGCTCACTGCAGATAATGGAGGGCTCCCACAGGTGTCAGAGCGTGCTTTCTTCCTGATGAGGAAGAATTTTGAGGCTTTCCTCCAAAGCAGGTGGTTTGACTTGTAGAAGGCAGTTTTAATTCTGCTTCTTTGCAGGAAGCGAATGTAAATTCTAATAGTTACAAGACACTTATTTCTTTTGTAAAGTAAAAGTTTTAGGCTGCAGTGAGGCAAGTGCATGCATGATTTACTTACTGCGATGTTTATGATGTGTTGATTGAATGGCACACTTAAAAAAACACGTTAGGATATTAGGTAAGATTTTAAATCTTTCTTTCGGATTTTTCACTCCCCCTGATACTCCTCAATTACTAAAAGTCAACAGACATAATTAGCTGTGTCTTTCTTATGCCTGCCTTGTAAAATGCGTAAGAGGAGGGACCCCTCTGGCTCTCTGTTTATTGATGTGAGCTCCTTGTTGACGAAAGGGTTCTTAGGGGGCTTCTTTGTGCTTATGTTGGGGGGGAGCCCAAGTACAGAACGCAGGGCTCCAAATCACCTACCACCACTCAGGAGAGGTCTCAGTGGGTATTTCTAGGAACATGTCAGCTGAATGCTAGTTGAAAGAGCCAAGATAGTGTTAGGAATTACTAGGAAAGAAAGAGAGGACAATCAAGTAAAATTTCTATGTCAGTGTGGGCAATATTAGGTCAGTTTTTGTTGTTTCTCTTTGTCAGCAAATATTTCACTTTTCCTACTCAGACAAATCTTAATCTGGGACTTGGCAGTTTTTTGCCGAGAGATGAAATCCAGTCCCTGACTGCAGTGTATTTAAGATTACTGCACAGGCATGGCTGTCTGGGAAAGAGCAGGGTCTGTGGGGTAGAGGGGAGGATGATGTAGGCTGCAGCCAGAAGGGTCCCCAAGAAAGCCCACTGAAGTCAGTGGGAGGCTTTCAGCTGGTATTTGGTTTAGTCTTAAAATCTCCGTTTCTGGTCTGGAGGATTTCAGTGACCTTCTCAGCTGGGTGTTTTTAATCCTGCTGTGCATTTCTAGGTTATGTTCCCTGTTTCCTCTCTGCTGAGCAGATAGTTCCCAAGGTGTTATCAGGGACTGCTTGAGTCTTGATCTGAGAAAACAAATTCCCACTGTTGAATTTTTATCAGCTCTCTGCAGAGTATTCAAGCTTTGATGGGTGGATGTGGATCGAAGCCATTTCAGTTCTAGGATAGTTACTTCTCTTCTGTGTATTGAATCCCTGTAAGTACTGTCCAACTTTTCACAACGGGACATGTTGTCAGATGAAATAATTGATCTTTGAGGTATGAACCTCAGGAGATGGAGCCAGGCAGCAATAAAGCTCAAAGTTAATGGGAATGGAAAAGTATCAGCCTAGCAATCTTTGTGTTCTTGTCTCTCAGATATCTTTGAAAACTTGGATTTGAAACCTGCCTAGTGTGCTCAGTCTGCACTTCTATTCAAATGGGGAAGTATCTGGATGGTACAGCCTAGCCAAGGATATTTTACTCAAAAACACCTTTTTTTTTTAAAACCAATTTTTGTTAGGAGTGGAGAGTAAACCTTAACAGTGGTTTCATGTTGTTATTTAAAAGGAAGGGAGGCAGTTTATTCAGAGAAAAAAAAGATTTAAAAAAGACCCAAAAGCCAAAACAGGCCCCCCTCTATTAAGTGACATTTTAAGAAGTATTTATCAAACAGCTTCTTGTATGAGAAAATTCAGTTTAGAAGCTGATGCTAAGTCCCCTCTGCACCTCTATGAAATGATGCTCTCAAACAGGTTTCATGAATTAAGTGCAAGTCATTTGTCTGAGTAAAATTACACGTGTGAGTAACAGTTATGGACTGGGGTTTCTGTTTGCTAAATGATAACATGGAGCTTGAAAGGGAAGAAATGAAGAATAAGAGTTATAAAAAATGTTATACTGTGTATGAAAGAATGCTGAAAAGGATTAAAATTAAATAGTACT